TCACTTTAGCGGGGTTTGACTGTATTCAAAAGTCAATGCAAGTACAAAAACATGAGCTTATAATAATAAGCTTTTCAAAGAAATTAAAGTAAGTTATCACAAAAATAATCATGAAAATATAATTACACAAAAGCACTTGAAAAATTTTACAAATAACCTCGCTTAAAATACAAAAACGAAAAGCGAATGGTTGCCAAAGAAACGAAAAACCTTAAATGATACTTAGAAGTAATTAGCATCTGCTGAAAATAATAATCTCTCTTGAAAAGCACAGGTATATTTAACCTATAAAAATAATAGTTATTTTAAAAAAATATGTAAGCCCTTCATATATATTGTTTTATACCTAAAATTCACTTTATAAAATTGCTCAGTTAATAGAAATCAAATCTTAATAAAGTATGTGTTATTCTTTTTGTTGATGTGTATTAGTTTGTTTTAACTTGTTGACCTGTTTTCATTTTAAAACGTGTCTTTTAAAATAGTATAAAAGCGTTTTTTTTTTCTCAAAAAGTTTAAACACTCCATTTCATTGTAAATAGTTCTTAGATTCTAAACACAATAAATATTAAATTTTAAAATATAAGTTAAATTTATAAAATATATTCAAAAGAAAATTTTTTGTTCTGTATCTAATAATTATGTGCATATTATTTGTTGTAAAAGTCACTAATACCTGAAAAATTAAAAATGATTCAAATGACTATGCATTAAAATTATATTTTAATGCTGTCCATCTAACTGTTGTGCCACAAACATTTGACGCAAGCTAAATTGTTTGGGGTCAAATAATAATCACAATGTACTGAACCCTGCGAGTATTAAAGAAATAAATTATAGTTCCCTCCGACAGCGTGTCATATGAAATCTGTTATTAATATTCCCTGATTTAAATAAAAGCGCCGTTGATCTACGCGTGTTTATCTTACAATATACCATAAGAGCTTTCGTAATATTAACCATAAAGTATTGCATAGAGCTTGATGTTGAATTAATGATAATGTTGTTGGCAACAGCAATATGCTAACCAGATGTGTAACAACGAAAGGGAAATTTGCTATCTACTGTAAACTAAAAGTTATGCTAATTTCTTATTCCCATTAAATACTGTTCGATATTTTACTTGTGTTACGAGCGTAAGCATTTTAAAAGCAATACTTTCTTCATTTCTTAAATGATTTCTTGCAATTTTATGGACCTATTTGCGAACTCATAATTTGTGTGTAAAAAATTTTCTTAAGTTATTGCATAATTTAAAAAGAAGTTCGATAAAATCGAAGATTTATACTTCCGGATTTGATTCGATATAATTTTACTTTTTTTTTTTTTTACTCGTAATGATTATATAAATATCATTCATACATTTGTCACATTTCCTACTTTTATATGTATTTTCAGTGTCACAAATTATACTGTATGACAGAAATTAATAGCATTAACTTCTCTTATTTGGAAGATATTTGGCTTATGTCTAAGATTAGCGCAATAAGTCAGATATACATCAGAAATCAAGCACGTAAAGTTGCCAACGAAAAATGAAAAATAAACGTGACAAACAAAACTAAAAAAACCTCAGCAGACAAGAGGGAATAAAAATAAATATGGCAAATCTGGGTAAAATGCAAATACGGTATTTAAACCATTCGTTTGACTATACATTAACCCAACCATTCATTTCCCATAACTTTGCCGTTCTTATGATATCGGTTTACCAGAAATTCTTTGTTTCCCAAAATTATATTCTTATTAGCTCACATTTAGTAAAAAATATAAAACTGAAAAGCAAATTTAACTGAAAAATGGCTTTTATGCATTACTCTAAGACAGCGGTTCCCAAATCGGAGTCCACGGAAGTCCAGGATTCCATGGAAGAGTTAAAAGAACTCTTCAAATTAGGATTTTGTTAATCAGTGATAATTTTTAGAACTTCGAATTACAGTTAGATCCAATCAATGATCCATTTTCTTTTTATATTTCGATACCTTTATGAAATAACTTTAAGTAAAATGGTAAGGAAAAAGAAATTACATTTTTATTAAATACATAATTTTTTTAATACATTATAATGAATAATTTTTTTAAAAGCAGCATGCATTTATAAAAAATTACAATAATATTTCCCGCCTCGCATTTCAAAAGAAAATTATATAGCTAATTTCAACTTAAATTCCCTAATAACCATTTTTATTTTCCATTTAAAACCAATTTTAATTTCCATTATAGAAATCATTTTTAATTTTCATTTTAAAAAAAAAATAAGAAGCATAATCCGCCTTATTTTATCCATTTTCAGCTTACATATATACACCAAAAAAATCCATAACTAGATTAGATACAGCTTCAGGATAGCGATTTTAACTATCGGACATGAAACCCAGCCTAAAATTATTATGAAGACCTCTAATTAAGTATTTTCAAAGTAATATTTTATAGGTTAATACAATTACAATGCTTTTATATACTTTAGTAGGGGTTTCGTGGAAGGGAGGTTGATCATTAATAGTTCAATAGCCGTGAAAAATAGGGAACCCCTGCTCTAAGATATTAAGAAACAATTACCAAATTTTGCTACATTTACCAAATTTTATCACACATAATAAAACCATATTTTATAGTTAATTTTACCAAAATCAGTACCATAGTGCTTCGATAAAAATATTGAACTTTTTGGTGATCCTATGGAGCTAGAAACTTGGTAAATGTTACCATTTTCTGGTAGTTTCGATCATACAGTTTTCTCAATGCAGTACTCTAAAGTATTTATTAATAAAATCAATTTTTATTTAACTATTTGTAAGTATTTTTTTAAATAAATGCTCACTTTGCTTTGCATTTTTTGTCAGTGTACTTAAAAAACGCTGCTTTTTATATTCTGTGCCTGTAACTTGATTTGTTTACTTTCGAGTCTTAAAAGAAAATTTTGCGTTTTGAAACTATGATTCACAAATGCATATTAGAAAAATTTATCTGCTTTTAAAGACAAATTTTCCCTCCACTATCATTATATGCAAATTCATACCAACAAAAGTCTATTTTCTGCATATATCGTTAGGTATTGATGCTGACCCGAAAAAGATGTGCACCAGACATGAGATAAAATTTCGATACACCCAATACCCTTAGAAATAAAAACGTGTTCTTCAGTTCTTTTTTTATGCAACATCTTATGCTCCTAATGCAAAAAAAAGAGAAGTGTAGTACTTTTTTTCGCATGCGAGAAATAGGTGAATAAGGAATGTGTCATGAATCTACCAGACAAAGTATTGCATGTTCCTCTTCTTATAATAAAAGAAAGACATTAACGAAATTTTTCATTTAACGCTAAGTGTAAATAGGTGAAAATAGACCATTTATTGTCAGACTTATATGGGAATAGGCATCGATCAAGAATATTTTACTATAAAACATTTATTGTTAAATAATAAATGGCAAACATTCATATTACATCTTCTCGGAGGGAGAACAGAATGAAACTACTCTGTATATGCAAGTCACGCATCCAACACTCTAGAATAAATAATAAAGATGGAATATGTTTTGTACTACTTATGAATAAAGCAAAATAACGTGAATAAAGCACAAAAATGTGCATACTATAGTTTCAGTTCTATAAACAAGAACCTTACTCAATGTCTAAACACAAAGTGACCGGGAAAAAATAACAAGACAAACATGCTACAATAAGAAGAAAAAAAGTAGTTTAACTAATAAGAGAGTTTATTATCTTGTTCAATCATGTTACTCTTCCCCTATTAGTAAAATAACTTTTTTATTCTCTTTTTCTCCTTCATTGCTGCAACGTTAGTCAATTTTTGTGCCGTTATTTTCTTTATTCACATCGTTTTATTTCATTCATTCTAGAATAAAATTAGTTATTTAGTTTCATTAGGGTTTTGATTAAGGTTTCTTTACTTTATCATTTCATCTTGCGCCAAATATTTAGACAATTCACTTATGAACTTAATGAAATTATTTAACTTTAGGTCTTAAGTCACAAATTTCAGGGACTGTAGAATTATGAATTACTTAATAATTAATTAGTATTTAAAATTACTTTGATTAATTATTTCCGATTATTCTATTCAATTGCTTCTGAATATTTTTATGGTTATGATACATTATTTTTGATCACTTATTCTTAATATTCTGATACATTACACCAGAACTTCAGTTTTTTAAGTCCTTATAGTCTTCAAATATTATTTCTGTATAAATTACGCTAGAGAAAAAAATATTTATTGCAAGAGATTTTCTAACGGATCTTTGATATTTTTAAGTTCCTGATTTTCAATCTGCAGTGGGCTTCTCTCTTCAAGTTACAATATTTTAATGACATTTTCAATCTATTTTTGTTGAAATGTACAAATTTAAGAACGTTATACACAACAGAGGTTTGTATAAATGTTGCGACAAGCTTCTAGGGTAGTTAGGGCACATCATAAGGATTAAAGCTGCATAGGAAATCATGTACAAAAATTTCATCATACGCCACTTAGGGCTCTTCCGTCATATGAATTGTTTCTTCGTGTGCTTCTAAACAGATCCTAATATGAAAATGCCTCTAACCGCATACAACAGCATTCTCGATCATGAGCCCCTATGCAGTTTTAATCCTGATAAAGAACCCTAATCACCCTAAGAACTTTGTTACAACATTCACGCTTCTCCCTGTTATTTATAACGTTTTAAAATTAATATAATTCAACAAAAAATAGATTAAAATTGTCATTTTAAAATAAATTTATAGCTTTAGGAGCGAAATTTATTTCAGAATTGTAATCCTCTCGCCAGAATCAGGCAAGATCAAGTAATACGCAAGACAGCAAACTATAACTATAAATATAACAAAATATAACAAAAATAATCATTTAAATGCAACATAAAAATTTCTCCCAGTGTTATTAACCAAATGAAAATATCATATATATTGTTAAACTTTAATTTCTTTTGTCGAACACTATCACTGAAGTCATTGTAATTGTTTTTTACTGCCTTTTTAGTACCTTGTCCAGTACCGACGACACCCAATGGTGTATATCACCATTTTCAGCGTACTGTTCTAGAGAAGGAAGGCATGCCTCACGGAGAAGTGGTGACGCTGACTTGTCTCCCGGGATTCCAACTTATGGGACCAGATTCTTTGCGATGTTGGTATGGTGACTGGGCCGTCGACAACCTTCCAGAGTGCGTACCAAGTAAGATAGCCGGTTGTTCCCCATCGATACAGACGAAACTTGTTCAGAAAAATATGAAAGTATTCATAAAGTATCCCAAAAGGGACCGATAATTTGAAAAATCAATTAAAAAAACTGAAGGCGATAGAAAATTGCAATTTGCCTGCGTGCTGCTAAGGAAACTAAATTATTTATTCTCGCAAAGCTTCAAAGCTAGCTGCAAAGCTCATAAACAAACGTTGCTGCCAACGAGTTAGATTATGAAACAATGTNTGATTTCCAATTTACCTACTTTGATTTCCAGATTATTTCCAATTATTCTATTCAATTGCTTCTGAATATTTTTTTATTGCTCTGATACATTATTTTTGAACACTTATTCTTAATATTCAGATACATTATCCCAGAACATTCGTTTTTTAAGTCCTCATAGTCTTTAAATATTATTTCTGTATAAATTGCACTAGAGAAAAAAAAATTACAAGAGATTTTCTAACGGATCTTTGATATTTTTAAGTTCCTGATTTCAAATCTGTAATGGGCTTCTCTCTTCAAGTTACAATTTTTTAATGACATTTTTAATCTATTTTTGTTGAAATGTACAAATTTAAGAACGTTAAACACAACAGCGGTTTGTATAAATTGAATATATTGTTTGAAAATATTTTATTTTATATTATAACCGTCGTTGAACAGCAGACCCAATTTTATGGGTTTACGTCTACTAATGTTCAAGTCCGTAGCCTTGCGATTTTGAACCCAATCCAGAAGACAAGAGAACTCCTAGATCGAGTATTGGAAGAAATTTGCCTTCGTGGAGGACTTTTTGATAGATCTAACCCGCATTTGCGTTACATGGAGAGGAAGACCACGGGAACCTCCCACGGTTTGCCTGACGGCAAGGGGACACTAACCCATGATCCGTCTACCACTGAGGATATTTCACGTCAGCACTGTGGTCAGTGCAAGCCGGATGTGGAATTCGTATTGACTGGGATTCGAACCCGGTTCGCCTCATTGGAAGGCGAACGCTCTATCCCCTGAGCCACCGTGGCTTTCTTTGAATATAATGTTGCGACCAACTTCTAGGGGAGTTAAGGTACATCATAAGGATAAAAGTTGCATAGGAAATAATGCACGAAAATGACATTATACGCCACTTGGGGCTCTTCCGTCTTATGAATTGTTTCTTCGTGTGCTTCTAAACAGATCCTAATGTGAAAATGCCTCTAACCGCATACAACAGCATTTTCGAGCATGGGCCCCTACACAGTTTCAATCATGATAAAGTACCCTAATATCCCTAAGAACTTTGCAACATTCAAGCTACTCCCTATTATACTGCTAAATACAACGTTTTAAAATTTATATAATTCAACAAAAAATAGATTAAAAATGTCATTTCAAAATAAATTTGTAGCTTTAAGAGCAAGATTTTTTTCAGAATTGTAATCCTCTCGCCCTAATCAGGCAAGATCAAGTAATATGTAAAACAACACAAAATATAACTGTAAATATAACAAAAATAATCGTATAAATGCAACAGAAAAAATTTTCCCAGGGTTATTATCTAAATGAAAGTATAATATATATTATTAAACTTTAATTTCTTTTGTCGAACACTATCATTGAAGTCATTGTAATTGTTTTTTACTGCCTTTTTAGTACCTTGTCCAGTACCGACTACACCCAATGGTGTGTATCACCATTTTCAGCGTACTGTTCTAGAGAAGGAAGGCATGCCTCACGGAGAAGTGGTGACGCTGACTTGTCTCCCGGGATTCCAACTTATGGGACCAGACTCTTTGCGATGTTGGTATGGTGACTGGGCCGTCGACAACCTTCCAGAGTGCGTACCAAGTAAGATAGCCGGTTGTTCCCCATCGATACAAACGAAACTTGTTCAGAAAAATATGAAAATATTCATAATGAATTACCAAGTATCCCAAAAGGGACCGATAATTTGAAAAATCAATTTAAAAAAACTGAAGGCGATAGAAAATTACAATTTGCCTGCGTGCTGCTAAGAAAACTAAATTATTTATTCTCACAAAGTTTTAAATCTAGCTGCAAAGCTCATAAGCAAACGTTGCTGCCAACGTGTTAGATTATAAAACAATGTTTTTGGCACCTCTTGTATGACCTTTTCATGCTGAAATACTTATTCGTATGTCATTGAATTTTATTCTCAGACTGTTGTTGCGAATTAATGATTTTTCCCCTTTTAAAACGTTGTCTTATAGTTTTTTTAAGTTAATAAGATCATCTGTTTGACAAATTTAATAACTAATTTTAAAACTTAGTGAGAAAAATTTTCTGGCATGTCAAGTAGAAAATTTAACTCTAATCGCTATCTTTCGATTGATTTTTTAAATCATCGGTAATTTTTGAGGCATCCTTTATAACAACTTTACAATGGCATAAAATGCTACCAAGACCAGTTAACATTTGTTTTGAATAACTGAAAATAAACGAAAATTGTATTTCAGGTGAAGAGTTAGAAAACTTAAATGGTTAAAAATATTGGCAACTTCAACGTTATTCCTTTTTTCTAATCACTTCTATAACGGTCAAAAGAAAAAAAAACAGTTTGGTTTGGTACTTATTTTTCCTAATAAATATTTTTTGGAACATACTTTGCTGAAGTATCCAAAAGTAATCAACCACAACGAGTTTAGATTTGAGAAGATACACATCAATAGATTTATGAAATATTAAATAGATTATAGTTGCAAAGTATAAAACACATTTATATAAAACCCCATCGTTACTTTATTGCTTTATTCATATTTAAACTTTATAGCAGAGCTACTTTTCTCTGTAGTTTGATATGATTCCTACTTATTTGATATTGTAATATATATGTATGTTTGTTTTAACCTTTTCATAAAGAAAAAATAAATAAGTTTTTTATGTATTTAAATCAAATTTTTTTGCCTATTTAAATCAGATTTATTTATTGCTTTTTACTTCGCAAGAGTCAGTTGCCCAAACTTTGGAGAGAAAAAATTTATCTCCTGCTAATGCTCTTAATCTTTTCACAATTCTTGGAGATCTAACTCAATATTCTGAGTTAAAGTTAATAATCCTGTCTAGTGTCATTTTAAGTTTCATTTGATTTTACTCTCAAATATTGTGTATTTAAATGCATTATTACCTGAATTCTTAACCATGTAATAAAAAGAGTGACGAAGCAGTGAGTACTTATCTAACTAAGCAGGTTGGCAAAAAACGGTTAATAATAATATAAAAATGCAATATTTTTGAAAGAATAACATTTCATTGTACATCTAAATTGTTAGAAAGTGAAATAAAATGAAAAGACTAGCCTGAAACTTTTATACCATTACTTATTTCCCTACTTCAGTAAGAATTGTGGAGAGAAGGGAAAAGTATTACTTCCAAAAAATGCTTAACAAAATTGCTGATAAATAGTGCTAATAAATAAAATAATATCGCCTTTAGGATTTTTTAAAGATAATAGAAATATAGAAATAAAATAGATTACAAATTATAGTATGCACTACCGCAATTAAATTTGAAAATTGAGGTTTATACCGTCTCAAACTACTGTAAACAAATACTGAATCGTCAAGCAGAACAATGTAGTTCTTTTTTTAAGCAAAGTGTGAGATAAATTTAAAATGTTTTAATATACCGCTACTTTATATTTCGTAACACACACAAACTATTATAAGGATAAAAAAAATAATCATTTTAAATAAAGTTGTAATTACAGACAGAAAAAAAAACACTAATATCACTTTTGATTACTCGCTACTAATTCGTATACTAGTTGCTTATTTTTTAAGAGCTTATTTTTTATGTCGCTATTTATTTTACCCTATAAATATATAACTTATTATGCACTCCAAATAATTTTTGTAAATTTTTTGAATTTATTACGAAACCTTAAACTCCATAACATATTATTTAGGTTAAATTTACACCCGCTTTCAAAAATCTTGAACGCTTAACTCATTCTTTAAACTGTAATTTCTCTTCATTTAGAACGCTATCTATCTCGACCTTATGTACAAATATGTCGTTAGATATTCCTTATTCAATAGAAACTCTTCTTTATTGTTCGCGTTGCTTCGGATTATCCTTTATTTCATAGAGAACATCAGCTGAGCCAACGACTTCATCAATCTTATTCGCCGATGCTTCACCGAACAGCTAAAGAAGTAGCTCTCCTATTATGTTTGATTGGTTGGCGGATTATTTTGTGCGCGATTGATAATCTGAGCTTCTGGACGTCGTCATTCAGATCATCTTAACGCATTCCTCACAAATACCACTTGTACGTTCCGTTGAGTCTTCCTATCATAGAAAATTTGATTCACAGAATCTGGTGCAATGAAGGAAATCTTTCTAAATTAAGCGAATCGTTCATTACTTCGTTCATGTTTAGGACGAATATAACCTTAGCTTTTGGCAAATATATCTAAAGGTTCTTGTAATTAATAAATTATTTATTATTTTCAACAGAATAGCTGTTGTTGTATTGAAAGTTTCGTTGGAATAAATTTGATTTTTTTAAACTTCAGTCAAAGGTCATGTACGAATTGCCACATTTCCATTTTACTAGCCATCCAGATGTGTGATGGGTTGAGTGGCCTTGACACTGGGTTCGATTCCCCGTGCTGAAGGCTGGGTTTCTGATCGTGTTACACTTTCTCCGATCGTGCCTCAGGATTCGGAATCTAATCTATGCAATGTCCCTCCGACGAACTAAAAATATACATGCACAGTTGGATGGTTGCGGAGCCTGGTGCTGAAACCAGAATCTTACTACAATCATCTGCTCTCCGATCTAAATTATGATGTAGTGTGTGCATGCATCAGTAATCTTTTTCGATTATGACTTAGACCGATAAATCCCGGATAGTTGTCAATAGTTACCAAATGTAGTTCTAATTCGACATCAAAAATCAAACCTACTTTATAAGTGCTCGATTAATACCTGGAAAATTTTAAAAGAAAGGTTTAAGAAACAAAAAATCGTCATTTTTATTGCAATGCATGTGTTTGCAGTGGATGAAGCAAGCTGGCAATATCTTGTAAAGTAATTCACGATATTCTAAATTGCAACAGAAAAGTGATACACATTAAATCCCAGGATGAAATTTACTTGCATAATCATCTGCGCAACAGGACTCCAAGGCGTTTCATTTGAGGCACATGTTCCTTAAAAAAAATTAAGAGAAAAATAAAATTAAAAAAAACGCTTATTTAGATCAATTCTGCTTTCCTTTGAAATATATCTTCGAACATCCTTACATGTATGAATAAGGTTATTTATTTTTTACCATTGTCTTCCCTAAATTAATTTTAAAAAAATTAAGCCGATTTATGCAGATAACGCAATTTTACTAAGTTTGTCTTAAAATGAAATCAAATTTAATCTGTAACAAGTGGAAAAAAGTACAATAAAAGCGAACCAGAACTAAAAAAGTACGATAAAAGCAAACCAGAAACTAAAAAAGTACATTTGAGATAGAATTGATGTCAGTTCAAGATTTTATCAACATACGAAAGCATGCATGGAAGTTATATATCAAATAAAGGACAAATAGGATAACATAAAGTAATCTTTCCTATTTATTGTGCACATAAAATAAATTAAAGCTTTTAAGACAGGTATAATAAAAAAATCATGGTGTTTCCATAGTCAGTAAAAAAATCCAATTCTGAGTAACTTTAATCTGATTACCAGAATCCACGTGCTAAAATATAATCCTAAAAATTCAAAAGAGCACTTTAAGTGTTCTAATCAATTAGTGTAAATTATATTTTGCAAAATGAAATCAAGTACAAAGGCTTGCTATTTCAGATAAAAACATACCTTTTTTTTCAGGTTTGGGTTTAGGACTCTCGATATATATGATAGCAGATTGTCAGTGGGAAAAATATGGTCGTAATAGTTTAATCAGAAGAAAGATTTTGAGTTTGATGCCTTTAATTCAGTTTTTATTTTTTGATATTGACATCATTTAGCTGGAAGTATTTAAGTAGATTAAACAATTTTGGTACCTATTTATAAAAATTGCTTACAAATAATTAAAGGAAATAATTTATACTAGGAGACTTCGTCCCCTGCTCGCTAGCGCTCGCCAACCCCCGGAACTGCTTTCGCAGTTCATTTCGGATTGCTTCGCAATCGGATGCTCGCTTTGCTCGCTCATTGGATACGTTCTTAACGTCTAGCTTTCGTATACTTTTTTGAACACTGAAGTTCCGAAAACTTTTCACTGTAGAAAATTCTAAACCTGTGCATTTCAAAATTAATTTGAAATTACAAACAGTTCACATATTTTTCTTAATCACATTATTCTAAATTTCAGTTGTTGAGAAAAGTAACTGTTGTAAGTTTTGCTTTAAAGTCTTTCCCACCAGAGGGCTAANCAGCTAAAGAAGTAGCTCTCCTATTATGTTTGATTGGTTGGCGGATTATTTTGTGCGCGATTGATAATCTGAGCTTCTGGACGTCGTCATTCAGATCATCTTAACGCATTCCTCACAAATACCACTTGTACGTTCCGTTGAGTCTTCCCATCATAGAAAATTTGATTCACAGAATCTGGTGCAATGAAGGAAATCTTTCTAGATTAAGCGAATCGCTCATTACTTCGTTCATGTTTAGGACGAATATAACCTTAGCTTTTGGCAAATATATCTAACGATTCTTGTAACTAATAAACTATTTATTTATTTTTTTTACACAGAATAGCTGTTGTTGCATTAAAAGTTTCGTTGGAACAAATTTGATTTTTTTTAAACTTCAGTCAAAGGTAATGTTCGAAGTGCCACATTTCCACTTTACGAGCCACCTAGATGCGTGATGGTTTGAGTGACCTTCACACAGGGTTCGATTCCCCGTGCTGAAGGGTGGGTTTGTGATCGTGTTGCACTTTCTCCGATCGTGCCTCAGGAATCGGAATCTAATCTATGCAATGTCCCTCTACGAAACTAAAAATATTCATGCACAGTTGGATGATTGCAGAGCGTGGTGCGGAAACCAGAATCTTAGTACCACCATCCACTCTCCCGTCTGAATTACGGTCATGTAGTGTGTGCATGCATCAGTAATATTTTTCGATTATGACTTAGACCAGGGATGAGCAAACTTTTTTAGTCGAGGGCCAAAAGTCGAGAAGAAAAAAAGTTTCCGAAAAAAAGTAAATATTTAATGAGATGAATGAAATTGCTATTTCATTTTTAAAAGTTCCTTATATTGAGGTTCGAAGTAAGATGTGCTTATTTTAAAGAACGGGGTTAAATGGTTTTCTGTTAATCTACTTCTGAAATGATTTTTTCTAAGGTTCATGGTTGAGAACACTTGTTCACATATGTAAGATGAAGCAAACATAGCACTGATTTTCTGAGCATGAGATATTAAATTTAGGAAACTAGCATTTGGTAATGATTTGCAGAACTCAAATATGTTTAGAAGCAACACCAATGTGCAATCTTTACATACTCAATAACTCATACTCAATACTTGCACCGGCAGAA